TGTTTTTTTGTTGTTGTTTTGGTTTGGTTTTTTGTTTGTTTGTGGTTTTTAATGTTGGGGTTTTTTTGATTGGTTTTTTTTTAATGAATAAATGATAGAAAGTCACAACAATATAAAGACAGATTTAGCTATTTGAAAGATTGATCAGGCAACTAAAATCCCGCTAAGTACAGCAGCTACAAGCTTATGGTTGTGATCTCTGTAAGACACTCCTGTCAGTGTTCCAGTGGAATCATGGAATTATGATTTTTAATGTTCCTTCCAACTGAAATCTTTCTATGACTCTATGATTAAAAAAAAAAAATAGCAAAGGCCCATCAAAACATCAGCTCATGCCACAAGACATTATCATAAAAACTAATATATTTTCAAATTTTGCAACAAGTAGTTTTACCTGTAAAAATGCATGTCCCACACTGAAATATTAAACCTTATATATGGGGTTTAATTGAGTGTAACTGAGTCAGGACAGTTAAATTCAGGTGTCTCTTTTAGCAAACATAAATAAAACTGGACGGCATTCTCATCACAGATGGTCAGAGATTGGATCTGTGCACTCTCTTTCTCCTCATGTTTGAGAATCTGTTCCTGAAAGCTGGATTGTGGAGGCTGAAGTCAATGTCACCAGTCTGCAAGTTCTTTCTGCAAAGCCACTGATGCAAACTTAAGGAAAAGCCAGACATGTAAGTGGCACTGTAATCCCAGCCAGAACTAAAACTGAGCTTATCCCAGTCAGAATTAAAACTGAGCTTTTCCAAACACAGCATCCTAATTTGGGCAGAATGATCAGGCAGATCTTATGGCTTCTAAACCTGAATGTGCTCAGGTCCAGCTTCATCTGCTCCTCCCTATCCATTCCACCCTGGTTTAATATTCTCCATGTAGTTGGCACCAGCCAAATGAGTGCCTGCATTGTAAGGCACCAGCTATAGTGCCTTGGATCTTCATACAGCAGTAAGATGAATTGTTTGAAAGCCTTCACAAAATTGTTAAGCAGATAGTTTAGACATTTTGATGTGAAGAGAAGGTTTTATTGTGACATGACTGACAGTCTCTGTGAAGGGTATTTACAGTCTGACTCTTTTTACTAAAAACACCATGACAGGTAGAACTTGATGAGGATGTTTAATGGGAGATGAAGGGAAATCATGACAAAAAGAGCTCATTAAACATTTCCATTTTTTAGAACAGGTAATTTCACACACAGAACTAGAATTTCTAAGTGGAGCATGCACCACTTAACACAAGCTTTTTGGGGTAAGCTTGCTTTCTTCGTCTGGCTTGATGTCTACTCTCAGTGAATGGAGAATAGGAGAACTGGTCTAAGGAAGGAGTAGAGAGAAAATAAGAATGAGCACAAGAAGTGTGAGTTGATACAGAAGAAGAAAGAGATACTGGGAAGGAACTGGATACTGTGAAATGTGTGTGTTAGGAGCTGAGCTGCACAGCTGGCAGAGGAAATCTACAGGAGAGCAGGATTTGCTAGGAAGGGATGCAGAAAAGAGATGAGGAAATACAAGAATCATATTGAGTAAGCAATCTTCATCCCAATGTCAGAGAAGTGACTTGGCAACCAGCCACCACTCATAATTGAGTTCAGCGGGTACATTCAAATCCTGAGATCTGAGACTCATTCCTTTCCGCCTCATTTGCACTGTATTTACATTACTTGATATCAGGGATCATGAGGAGCCAGACTATAGAGTATTTTGGCACCTGCTGACAAATGGCCTCACACAGTGGCAAAGCATTGTATAGGTACGTCAGCTATCTCAGTGCATGCACAATGCTGAACACTTCTGCTTCGTGGCACTACCAGGAAGATGCTCTACCCCTTCAGCCTCAATGGCATCCCCTATGCAGGGAGAAATATTTGCCCAAGGTTCTTAGGAAGACTTATCTTACTGAAAATCAGTGTGAATTACACTTCCCAGCTTGAAAGCAGACTCTAAAATGGGGATTCCGGATTTCAGTCTTTACACTGTGATGAATCTCACCCCACCTAAGCCTAACTTTTAGAAGTTATTGTACCTGCAAGTCATTTCAAATTCATATGTAGCCAATGAAGAATGAAGTCTAGATGAGCATTTATTTCCACCTGAGAGGGACATGTCATGCAGACTGAAGGAATTTCAGACAATCAGAGAATCACAGAATGTTTTGGGTTGGAAGGCTCCTTAAAGATCATCCTCTTACAACCCCCTGCACTGGGCAGGGACACCTTCCACTAGACCAGATTGTTCCAAGCCCTCTCCAACCTTGCCCGTGAAGTGCCTAATTCCCTCCAAGGGCTGCAGAGGGTCAAGGCTGGAGGGCACCTAAATGACTACTTTTCAGTGCACAGACTAGAGGTAACTTGCCTGGGAACATACCAGAGAAAAACAATCCTAAAATGGAAAATTGATCTCTGTCCAGGGAACATGGGCAATTCAGTTTGAACTCAACCAAAACTTGCTGCATTGTTATTAAGCGTTGAATTTATTGTCAGGAGAGAGGATTCATGGTGCCTGAAACCTATCAGGAGCTACAAAAGGTTTCTCACTTCATTCATCCATTATGAAATTACTGAAAGCAAGACCTCCTAATAAAGAAAGTGTCCTTACATGTTTAAACCAGGTAGATGAGCTAGATTATTTGCCCTCAGACTGAGTTTTAGAGGTTTATATAATAATGACAGCTATAAATTGAAAAAAAAAATTATGGCAAGTGTCTCAATGACAGAGAGTCTCACACATGGAAGGGTGTGCAATAAATCAGATGGGCAGTGGAATATTAAATTGCTAATTTTAAGAGCTATTGCTCTTCTTTTTTTTTTTCTTTTAATACATACTAATATAAAAAGGTGAAACAGAATCTCAGCTACTTCTTTCTTCATCTTCTCTTTTTCTTCATAAATTTAAGTACATAAGTTGTTTAGAGGAAAAGGTTTAGTCCCTTTAAATTTAATCATGAAATAGCAAAAAAATAAAATAAAATAAGATGCAACCAGATTCATGGAGATGACAGAATAAATGTATTTGATGATTACAGAGTAGGTTCCATGTGCTCTATATCTCAGTCATGCCATTTACCAGGACAGCCTAGTACCAGGTGTCTGCAGACATGATTACAAGTGTCCTATACACCCAGTCCTACTGCAATGACCTAAATTACAGACTATACCCTGAGTAAATCTGAAACAGCATTGAAGGAATAATAAAAAAGTCACACAGAATGTACAGCAGAAGAATTGTAACAATGAACTACATGAAAAGCTATATGAAATGCAAGTGAAAAATCAACAGCTCTTTTGTGCCCACAAATACCTTAATTAGTTATGCAATGTGTGTAATTTTACTAGATTTTCCCAAGCAATACAACGATGCCGCCCTGCTTCTGGTGGCTTACCATGACATATTTATGGCAAGGTTTATTTGTTTATGCAAAGTCCAGAGGTGTCAAAATCCAGGCCCCCATCCAGCTCCTCCCCAGTATTTATCTTTTTTTTTTCACATCTTGGTCCCAAGATGTGCAAGTTACCACAGCCTCATGTGAAAGGAATCTCTCTCTACTGAATACAGGGTTCTTTCCCACACTTACAGTAGACTGAAATTCCTGACCTTTTGCTTTGGTTTTCCCTACTATCACGCAGATCCTCAGAAACACTGATTTTCTGTGTAACGAAAGCAATCGAACAATTTCTTGAGGTCCTTATAGCCCAAATTTATATTAAACAGTATATAACAGTATATATATAACCCACCTTCAGCAAGTGCACACCTTGCTTCTAAGGCATCTGTCACTCCCCTTCTCTCAGTCACTTGTTACCATTTCTTATGTATTTTGGGGATAAACTCTTCATCTCTTCAAAATGCCAATATACAGAAAGGGAATGGTGGTTTTGGATATAGCAGTATATTATCACTAGCTTTTTAATATTTTACTGTCCATGCAAGGCATAGGACAGAAAAAAATAAGCTGAATTAAGTTTAGTCTCTTGTATATTTAGAGCACTACAGAAGGAATGTATAGCAATATTGAGAGGGATTCTCCTTGCACTGATTACAGTCCACAATATCCAGGGAAGGAATGCAATACATAAAGAAAAAATTCTGCCATTCAGAAACATTTTGAGTGAGATTTTTTTGTACACTTAATTTTGCTGTAGTTTCTTTCAGCATTTCCCACAGCTAAAATAATGGCAATTGTGTGTACCTCTACCCTACAACTCTACAGATCTTACGAAGCTACCACAGAAGTTGGCTTTATTAGAAAAATAATTGTTTTTCTATGGTATATGTTAGATTGGACACTGATGTAACCTGTTGGGTTGTTTGGGTTTTTTCCCAAATGACAGAAAAGTAATTCTCATGCAAGCATCCTTTTTTTAACTAATATTTCATTTAAAGCTCCCTATAAAATTTTCTACCTATCAGCACACTGTATTCATGACGAAATCATTGAGAGGAATAGGCATTAAGGCTGCAGAAAACCACTGCAGAGGTCACAATGCTCTGACATACCTCTTCCTAATGCTACTTCTCTCAGTCTCTATTCAGACCTTGCCTCCCCTGCTGTCCTACGAAACCAAGCTGTGAAGAGCACAATATATAAAGTGCAGCTCTGGCAGATCCTACAGGGGAGAAAATGCAGCTCATCCGTGCTCAGAGCAAGACTTGCACATTTTTGGGTAATATGGAACCCTTCTAACCCAAGCAGCAAATCATGCATTAACTTGTAAAAGGCTCATTGTCGACTCTTAACCACAAATAACACATTTATACATGGTGACTTTCAGAGAATGAGTTGGAGAAGACAGAAGGGAGATTCAAGCAGTGAATGAGATGGATATAAGTGACATTACAATCCTGGTTACTCTGCACCAACCCAACCAACCCATAACACAACACTGATAAAAGTCACATCATGAGGAATGTACCAAATGTTACAGACAATAATAAAAGTCACAGAGGCTAAGAAATACACTTTCTTTACTGTATATAAACAGGGAAGATACTTACACTTACAGGTTGACTTTTTGGCACATCATAAACACCTTCCTTCTTTTGGCTGGTAGGAACCTGCAAAAGAAAAGGAAAATCGAGATCAATATCCAAGGAAGGTGGATGAAAACCTGAAATCAGCAACTGGTATTTATGTACAGGGTAGTAATTTAATACTAATGAAATCAAGGATGGTTCCCTTCTCATCCAAGTAGCACCAGTAATGGAGAAAACTGAAGAAATAAAACAACATCTATCTGTCCTATAGCTCAACACTGCTCAGAGAAGAGATTTCCATTATCAGATAATTTTGGTTGCATGAATTTCAGGTGCTCTTGGATCTGCCCCCTACTGAAATGGCTGTTTTTTCCATTTAACTTGAGGGTTAGAGATGCAACATTATATGATGGAAGTGATGATCAAGTGAGTATATCATTATCCAGAGACACAGAGCAGAGTTACTGATCTGAGGGTGAGAGATGATTTCTTCCTTCCAATTAATTTAATAATCTAAGTCAAGAAAAGTCGTAACATATCCCTGTAGTGATGGGGCACTGTGGCTGCTCTATGAGATATTTGGTTATAATGCTGCAGTTTTAATAAGGAATTAATGGCCTCTTAAAGTATGACAGGAGACATGGATAAAGGACAACACACTTAAAAAACTTTGGATGAGCTTTTAGTTAATCCAATAATCATGATTTACACCTTGGGCATTTCTAATCTGCTCATGTAAATTCAGCTGCTTTGTTACACAGGGCTGTGCTTGTCCAAGGACCACTGGTTCCCATACTTATAATTTGTGACTGTGTCTCTTTTCCTTCCTAGAAGCACTGAGTGTCTATTGTAAATGACAAAAGCAAAAAGAATAGTAAAAACATTTTGTAAACTGGCACAAATACTCTAAGGAAATCAGGCTGCTTTTCCACTGAACAGGGCATACAGCATACGAAAGTTACATTTCAGACGTCAGTGTAACCTCACAGGTCACTAAGAGATAATACTACAAATATAGAATTATTACCTTTTTTTTTTTTTTTTCTAAGACAGGAAATATCTTAAGGTTCTGATATTCCACTCAGACTGCTTTAGGGGAAGCTGAAGGAATGATACTTATTCATTGAGATATGCTATATTTTCTTATTCTGAATAATTATTCTGTGTAATATTCTGTATTATACATTAAAACCTCTCTCTGCTGTTGTCTCTACAGTTCTCTTGCGCATGTTTAAACATCAAAATCTTCACAGGAAGAATTAATTAATTCAGTGCATATTGAAGAAGTTTGTCAAGAGCATGAGCACAGGATCCTCACAGAAACTGAAACCTTTTCAAAAGATCTCTTCTATTCCTATTCTGAGAATGATTTGCTTGCCTTGGTTTTCTCAAAGCACTGGCCACTTCCACTAAGACCACCTATCAAATTAGATATGTGGAACTGGTAACAGTGGAGCAATCCAATTTCATGGCAGTAACAGTCTATTAAGAGAGAGACCTGTAAGTGACAGTGTGAGAGCAGGAATCAGGAAGAGTCTACTTAGGAAGTGAGTAGAAAGCTGAGTCTTCACAAAAAGAGGACAAGTACAGAAAGATAAAATGTTTCTAAACTTTCATCAGGATGCATTTTTTTTTCTATTTGGTAAGTTTTCCTTTTAGCCATTCTCCTCTTCCTCCTTCCAATTTTTCTATGAAGTCACCTCAATTTGCACATCTGCCTGCAGATGATTGTGGAATGAACATTTCCCTGCACTTTCAATCCCCCTTTTTTTACTCCAGTTTATATATAGAGAAAAGCTGACTCCTAATACAAAGACAGAGAAACTTTTCTGAAAGACATTCTTCTCTCCCAACTTGATACCACCTGTCTTCCTGTTCTTTTTACTTTCCGTGTATCATCACGCTTTTTGCATCGCTACTCACATAGGGGGTCCACAAAGGATTTCTGTTTTTCCTTTGATTAACAATACCAGCAAAGAGGTACCAGCACTGCTGCTGCTGTCAGTTCTGTGACAGGCTGTGAAACATTTGGATGTATTTGCATCTCACCAGCAATACAAGCACCACAATTCAGAAACCCCCATCTCGGACTGTCAACTCCTCATGGAGCAGAACTTGTCTCCCAATAGAGACTAGTGCTGCTGCAAAGACAACTCCAAACCACCTCCCAGAATCCCATCTCCACCTCGCCAGAACACCAGGCAAGAGGAGAGATGCTATTAAGTGATCTGACAGTAGATGAGAGGATTGGTATGTGCTCAATGACTGAGTCCTTGCCTAAGTAACACATTACAGCAACTTACATAGACAACATTAAAAGGGCAGACTCAGAGAGTCTTCTGGGTAATGTATCAAAGAAAGGTGACAGACAGAGGAAGAATGCTTAAAAAGAAAATTGTGACCTCTATTATGCTAAAGAGAAATAGAAATTGTCACTTTCAGCACGGATCTTTCATTGGCAATTCCCCACAGGGAATCTTTTCCACCAAGGGAGAAGTGCACACCAGCAAATGAAATACCAGAGCAAAACCAGCAGAAAGAGTTGGTGAGGCTGAAGCAAGGCCGCATGAGGTTACTGAGCAGTTACACATTTACCAACATGTAGTATGGGGAAGGTTTTGTAGTAAATAATGGAAGCTGCCACAGCTTTGCATCAAACTAAAAAAAAAACCACAATGCCAAGCAAGCAAACAAAAACACACACACACATAGGAAAAAAAAAGAAAAACTAAAAAGAGGAATTTTTCTAATTTGATTTTTAATAGTAGCCTGGATGGTTCTGAGAAACAATTTTGTCAGTGATCTGAGTGTAAAATCTGAACTGTGGAAACCCAGATTTACAGCAGCCAAGAGCTCATGAAGCCTGTGGGAAGCTCATGGCTACGGGCCAGTCTGAGGCAGCAATATCTCAGCATCCATCAATTACAACTGATACCACAAAAAGACCCCTGGCTCCCTAATTTCAGCATTTGCTGTACTCAAGGTACTGCCTGTAGTAAACACAGAGGACAATGCTAGACTGTGTATAGCCAGAGTATGGCATATTGATCACAGGTATTTTCTGTGCACCGCTGTGGGAGGAAACACTTTATCACATCCAGACACTGTCATATAAAGCCTTCAGCAACTCTCTGGTGACTTACAGGACAATATCAGCAGTACCTTGAAATGACGCAAGACCTCACTACCTGCTTATCATCTTCTATTTTCATTTTGAGGAAAAGAAATTCCTTCAGAATTTCCTCCATAAAGTCCTCCTGTTCATTGGGCCATTCCTCAGAACAGTTCCAACTTGTTTTCCCACCAAAATTTGCTCTAAGATTTACAAACACTGTGGGTATCAGTCCCATTTTCCTTCCTTCCACCAGTACTTCTCGAAAGTGTCACTAAAAGCTCCGTACTTTGATGAACAACAATCAGCATTTTTTTGCCTGAATGTAGTTCTCATGGGATTTTTGTTTGCAGCATAAACCTGACAACTATAGAAGTAATCTTTTAATATGTGCTGAAAATAGTCAAACTTTCAATACTGAAAATGTTCAGTCTTAGGCAGACTCTCACCTTGAGAGCTTTGATTGCCTTGGTCTAGAGATGCAAAAAGATGCATACTGCAGTGTGGGTTGTGGGGGTGCCAGGAGATCAGCAGAGATAGATCAGATGAATTTCATATTAATGACCCTATGATGGTTATTTTCTAATGTTTAACTTGCATTTTCCTTTCACACTTAGCTTCTATTTTGGCTTACAGCTACACTACTGTATCATTTTTTCTATTATCTTCCTGTATTTTCTCATTATCTAATACTTCTGCCTTTTTTTTTTATTTCTCTATCCTTTCTCCTGTGTACCTTAAAATCTTTTCGTATTAGCAGATCAACCTCTAGCACAGCTAGATGAAATTCTTAATCACTGCTTCAAACTCCTTCCCCTCCCCACTAAATGATTTCCTTGAATCACAGTTTTCTTACAGCATACAAAGATTTCTGTCTATCTTCAGATTTGCCTCTAGTATGTGATACAAAATGAATTACATTACATTTTAATAAACCTTGTACTGATCCCTTGAGGATAAATTGAATGACAAAAGATTATTTTATATTACTTTCAATGCAATTTTTTGTCAGGGTGAAGAATGTGAGCTTGGGCTCTAACATAACATATGCACTCTGAAAATAGTTTCCTTGGTCTGGGGGATATCCCTTGAGAGCTCTGAGGTTTTGCTCAGTTATTTCCTTGGTTAGCCAGAAAGAAGAGCAGTACCATCAAAATTTCTAGGAATTGCTTGGATGGTCTGGCCTCTATGATATGTATGCTTCTCAGAATAGGTGTAAAAAATTCAAAAAAATTAACAGAAAAAGAGAACCACTATTTATCACCTCATATGGTGTATTTAAAAGTTTAAGACCCTCCATAAGTTGACAAAGTTAATATAATTTGTAGAAGTTGAAATGACAAACAACAGAAAAATCACACTGAGACCAGGCAGATAATTCACGTCAAGTCACCAAAATGAAACACCAAGACATTCTCGTGATGAATGAAAACTAAAAGTGAACTATATATGAAATGTGCTTTATTAAATGCTTGCAATCGCTGCATGGAAACACCGAAGGTAGAGATTTTATACCTGATAAATGTTTTCTTCCGTTTCAGGCTCACGGATCGGCTCGTGTCCAGCCTCAAACACAATGTACTATTACACCAGCCGCCAGAGAGGAAAAGTCAAAGATGAAACAGAAGGGAAAAAGGCGATTTGGAATTCCACGTCAAAACAAAGGCAGGCATTAAAGAAACAAGTTCAAAGTACAGGCTGGCAGCAGGACAACCGGTTTGTTGGAAAGCACCAGGTAAGGTTGTTTCATATTTCATAAACCGGCAATGAATAGCCCTAAATCTCCTCTAATGATCATTAGAGCAACTTCCTAATTCCTTCTCACTAGGGAGACCGCCTGTGGCCCAGTATTAATTTTCTGAAGTCAACATGAATTTTGCCTTTTTTACATAATGGCAATTATTTCCACATATATTTATTATCCATGAATAAAAATGCTAAATCCAAGCTGGGAGAACAGGCTGGTGCACACGGAACAGGGCACATGGCAAAAGGCTGTCACAACATTTTTAATTTTCAGGTTCTTGCTTTATTGTGAAGAATACAGAGTAAAACTCCTGACATTATAAAAGCTGAATAGTAATTTAGGGCATCCTCAGTCTTATCATCTTTCTTGCTGCACCTTAGGCACTGTTCAATATTCACTAATGGTTGAATTGGTTCCTTTCACGTGCCTCCCACTGATATGCCTAAGTGGAGGAACACAAAATCCCCAGGAAAAAAAAAAGTCAACTATCACATATTTTGTTTCAGCACAAAACCACAAGAATTAAATTACATCTTTTTCTTCTTCACACTCAGTAGGGTATCGGACATGAATATATTGACATATTTCTGATAATCATCTTTGCTCCCAGACATTTTGCTTGGATGAAACAAGACTTAAATTTCAGATCTGTTATTAAATTGTAACCCAAACACCAACAAGGGAATGTGTTACAACATCAATGTCACTGTTGTTTTTTTCCAAATATTCATCCTCTAAATTAAATTCTGGCTCCACAGATAACAAAAACAAAATGCCAACTTATTACTATCATAATGAGACTTTATCTTCCCTAATTCTCAAAGCAGCTCCCTTTCCAGTTAGAGTTTGTATTAAAATATGATGACATATCTCATTTGGAAACTTAAAATCTGGATATACAAACCACATTTTAAGTAATATCTATGACATAATAATCCGACTGAACATATTCTATTCTATTCTATACAGAAATACTGTGCTATTAATTACAGCTTAATCTCTAAATATGCTGCTTTCTATAAAAACCTTACAGGTTTCTCACAAGACCTATCTTGGTAAGTTTCAAAACATCTTGTTAAATGTTTTGGCTGCGCTTGAGGATAACATATATCTAGTCATTTCTGAAACTCCAAGGCCATACAGCTTCAGAAATTACCTGGTATACAGGATCTTCTACATCTTCTTCCAAAATTGTCTACAGCAAAGTAAGAGGACAGGCAGTAAAAGCAAAGAACATAAACAGCAGAGATAAAAGAACTGTACTCAGAAATTAAAGGACAGCAAAGAAATAAGCAAAACTGGCAGATGAGTATATAGTTTTGTTTCTTTAGGATACAGATAAAGTCACATTAGTGCGCAAAGTAACTTTATTCAAGTTTCATCCAAGTTTAACAATCTGCACCTCATTTGCTTGATTCAAATACACACATTCAGAAATGTATTTAATCTTCCCTAAAGTATCAGACACTGTTAAAACCTGACTTACAACACTGACCTTCATTAAATTTTTCCTTCTGAATTAGAAGAAACACTAGGCAGGAAATGAGCAGATCATTTCCAGTTGCTAAACAGGTTCATCACACCCCAAGTGACAGCTTTCATCCCTTTAATCCTACGTCTGAGCTCACGATGGCTGTTGGGTTCACACTGGTCCGTTTGAAGCCAGCATCGTTCAAACCCATTGCTGTTAAGAAGTGCTGAGGATGCTCAGTGCCTCTTTGGAGCAACTTGGGGGGATACTTCAAACCAAGCTTTTCTTGGCAGTAGTCTAAGCTTATTCGTGTACCTGGTATACCGCTTGTTCACACTGTTTGTCCTTTTGTGCCTTTTTTTCCATTTCTTCCCTTTGTTTCAGTTCATAGATGAGCTGAAACAGGTCTCTCAAGTCCAGGATTACAGGTTCAGCCTATGGAAGCAAAAACAGGAAGGAAAATTCCTGTATGTGAAAACATACACCTCTTAACCCACCCTGCTGACAGAGAAGTTACAGCATCTCATATGAACTTCATATAGAATTAATTTCTATCTTAGCATCCAGGCTTGGGTTAATTTCTATTGAACTAACTATACTTGAAAATTACCTATAATTATAATTATGAATATAAAGAGCATTATGAATATAAAAGGCATATGTATGAATATAAAGGCAAAATTATTAGTGGTTTCACATCCAATGGAATTACAGTAGACTATACACAATGTAGTTTCAATGAGTGCAGGAATATAACCAAACCTATTTACACCTAGTCTAGCTTGGTCAGAAAGGAAAACAATAACAAATGACCATAAAAAATTAGAAATACATTCCCTTTTGCCCAAGCTGGTTTCACTACCTAGCTATTTCAGAACACCTAAGCAGACACTCACGACTAGTGCAGCAGAATCAGAAACAATCCAAGATTGGCCTCTCAAACAGCTTGTTTTGAACAGCTTTTTAGTTGAGTTACATGGTAGAAAATGACAGTGATTTGATACTTACTGCCTGGGCTGTTTTTATTGCCACAAATCTATGATTTCCCTCCTTTCCACATACATATCCAAACGCTCGGTGGTCTGTGATATCCTTTGCGATGTATGAAATTTCATGAACTGCATGGTGATGCTGTAGTAGCTATTAAAAAACAAAACAGTAGAGAATTATATCAAAATGTTGGATTAAAAAGCAGTATAATGTTTCTTTCATCAGTGCTTTACCTGGATCTCAATTCACCTATGGCATTCAAACAAGCAAATACATCACGGTATCAAAAACAATTAATATCTGAACTCTTTAAGACTGTTATTTTCTCAAAATCTAGACCAGCTTGACTTGCTGTAGTAAGTCGACTTAAAGCTTCCATTGAGGATTTTTCTTGGTGTCTTTTAGTGAGATATAATTAAATAAAAAATGTGTTACCTAGTTATTATCCACACAGCATCCAAGTCACAGAATCAGTGTTTGTGGGCATATATAAGTAGGGGCTGCAGATATCTGCAGCTTCATACAGGATGACTCTGAGGCCAAGCTGCTTTGCAGGAGCTGCAGAGCCACAGCTGAGATCTCCAATTCCTCTAAGAATTGGTACCAGACCTGCTTTATCTCTGCAGCACTAAACATCAGCCAGTGAGAGAGATTTCATTTCAAGCAGTAATGGAACTGCAAACAATTATTCTCCCCAGAAAATTAGCAGAAATGCAATTATTCAACTGCAAATCAATGCTAAATGCAAAAGTTCACATTTTAATTAAAATCTCACTTTGGTGAACTGCAATAATAAAAAGTCTCAATTTTGTTTTAAATGTATGAGTTAAACTCCCCCCAGAGTCAGGACACAAATCTGAGACATCTCTAAACATCTCTTGTAGTGCTAGAATCTCTCTCAATTTGGTCTAAATAGTATTCTACTATCAAAGTAATAGAGAAGTATTTCTACTTTGAATGATGTCCTTGAAAAGCTTATCTAAAACAATCTATTAGTTTCAATTTCTACCTTCTGATATATTGACCTGCTCTTATATCCTCTAGAGATAATGCTATTTCTGAGAGCAGGCAAAGCCTCACAAAGAATTCTTTTGAGGTCCAGATTCCTGCTGGTTTTGAGAAAAGCACATTTTGAAAACCAGCATGCTATCCAGGCAATCTCTAAACAACCAGTTATTTTTAGAGTTTTGAAAAAAAACAAACATTTTAAAATTCAAAAGCAGAAAGGATGTCTGTGCATGCAAGAGAAAAGGGCTAAGCGTGTGCAGGGCAAGTGACAAGCGATGGGACTTCTGTAGGACAGGTAGTGAAATCTGAAAGGAGAGGCAGCCTGCAAGAGATGGATGACTCCATATAAAACAAAAGACTGGACATGTTTCATTTTCATTTCACAGTAAATGGCTCTTAATGTCCCAAGATCAAGATTGCTTGCTCGTAGGAGAGTGGAAGTGTTGCCATTGACTTCAGGCAGAACGTGGCTGAGCTGAAGGTGCACTTCAGGCTCTCCTGGCGTGTTAAGCGTTTAAAATTAATGACGGGATCTTCCTTAGATAATACAGGGATATTGATTTATTAGAGTTTTTTTGAAAACCAAGTTACATGCTATCTGTTACAATGAAACGAAATGTTCCCATCTCTCTATTCTGCATATGACAGAGAACGTTATCTCTGGTTCCTATTAAATCAAAGTCCTTTGACATTGCTTTATTGATTGCCAGGCAGCTTTTTGCACTGAAATTAAACTGTGATCAGATGCCTTCCTTGTGGAATTAAATTTGAAGACCACTGTACCATGGAAGAGTATCACCCACAATGTAAGACAGCAGATGAAGACCCTCCAATTTATTTAGGAATCCTCACTCAGTATTACACTTTTAATGGTTATGATATTTTACATCCTGCATCAACAGAAGTACAAATTAAGTAAAGGTGATTGCAACATTATCCTTTTAGGTATTTTACTGGGTGGAATGTCTAGGAAGAGTTTTTCATTTGTTTGAGGGATACTGAGTTGGAACATACAAATGGAAGGCAATGTTGCACGTGGACATCTGTATTCAAATGTAGATGTAAACACTTCTTTGTACACGTTTTTTCACCGTCTTCATTCACCTAATGTGTCCTTTATACATATTACAATACTCTATTATTTAACAAGTTCCTGATTTTTTGCTCTTGCAAAGCAGAAATAGGACTCCTGTTTCAGTCAGGAGAGATGCACCACTGTAAAATGCAAGATCAGAACTGCATGCCTTCTGTAAATATTTATTTAAGGACTCAGCCTGCCCAAGACCCTGCAGAGCAGTGAAATGTGTGCTAGAGCAAAGGACAGCAGAAGGGACAGCATGAGGAGATACACCATCTCATCCAGTCACCCAAGAGAGACAGACACTTGAGGCTATTTGTAAATACTCTTTGCGTGTTCGGATCAGATGTGTGTCTGATGCATTTGCATAGATTAATCTGTCCCATTAAATAAGGTCAACCAAAAGGAATGTTATGTTTATCCCTCAGATTGTAATTGCTCACATGTAGCCACCGCCTCGATACTTGATATGAAAGGAAATTAGACAAAAGCCACACAAATTGCTTAGAGCAGAATGGCTGCTCAATGCTCACAAGCTGATCTGCCCCTCTTTCTCCCCGCCCTCTTTTTTTTAAATATATTTAATATTTTCAAGTCTTTACCATGACTAAATCCTGTCTCTAGTGGTCATAAGCACATAAATTAATTATTTCATGACTTGATACCCCTATATGCCAATGCTGATGGATTCCATCACACACTATTGGGTGTTTTTACTGTATCTGTGATGAGAGCTGCTACGAACCATTTACCAATTCTTAAGTGAGGTATCAAATTGTTTTGGAGTGCTGCAGTAAGACAGAACAAATTATAGAGAAGACTTAATTTGTATTATGGTTCAATACAGTCAATTACATTTTGCAGAGATTAGAAAGTAATTTAACATTTAAGTTTCAGTTGCTAAAAAAAATGCACTGCCTCCAAATTATTTTAGGTCTCCTGTGACTTTAGTTATTGTTGGAAACAGAGATTTTAAAGGGAAGCACAGATAAAGTCTCAAACTGGGTAACCAGACAATCTTGTGATGCACAAGTCCTTCTTTTTAGGCTAGACATGACATCATTATGGTATTTCATTCAAACACTAGAAAGTTTTTGTCTGGTGTCAAAATCAAAAAGTCCAAAATACCCTCCACCACCAAGGCTGCTGTCTTGCCTCTTCCCCTTAAGTTTGCTCTGGTCTCTCCCATTGGCCATTATTTTCTCTCCTTGTCTCCATTCTATCGCCCGCTTCTCCTCTTCCCCCAGGTTGCTCCCTGTACATCACACTGAATTGATTTAGCTGCCTCTGAGATCTGTAGCATTTCTAATTTCCCTCAGGCTGCTTTGCACCTATCATAAATTTTTTCACCCCTTATCCTCATCTTGCCCCTTTATTTCCATGCTGTAGCCTCCAGTGCCACTAAATCAATTAAGTCAATCAATTAAGTACTTGGAGGGTCCAGCAATCATGTCAAATATGTGAGTTAGGTGGCATGAGAAAGTCACTGCTTTACTATCGCTATTTCTCTTTTAATGAGGTTGTCTATTTAGTGGAGCCTGGGGCACAGCGTTAAGAGCCACAACAAAAAACACCCTGCAAGCTGCAAAGCCTCCTAGAAAAGCTGCCCCACTGAAAGCAGGAAGCATGTTCCACACAATATTATACCCATACGGACAGGTTTCACAGGGATTTAGTCTGCACAGCCTTTCACCTTGAGCATGCAAATGGTAAACCTGGTTTCAGATAGGTGGGATCAACTGGCAGCTCCATTATGGATGCTGTAATGTGGGAGATAGACATGGACCAAGCATCCTTGAGTTTCTATCCCTGCCTATTCACTTCTACCATATTTGAATAAGCAACAATACATTTTAAGTGTCACATAAAGCTCCCCAAACATCAAAGTTACCCATCAAACTGCAAAATTCTTAATGGAATCCTAATAAAATAAGCTTGTGGACTATAGTTTCAGTCATGCTGCTCTCTACCTGCAAGTCCCTGTATTCCAACTCAGGAGCATATAAGGAAATCAGGCCCTGTATGTTCAGGAATATCACTGAAAAAAATCACAGAAATTGAACTTCACATGGAAAATTAATGGTAATGCCTTAATAACAAGCTTAGCAAGCCTGAAGTGCAATAGGACATCGACCATTACCTACTGCAACACATTCAGTGAAAACAATGAATTGTAAACCATGTGAGTGGCTCTGAGATTAATTTTATCGCATTGCTGCAAGAAACGCTGGTGGATACAGATGATTCTCCCTCACTACACCCAGGAGGCTGCTGTGTTTCTTAACAGGACTCAAGATGTGTATGCTATAGTACTTGGTCAAATGTTCTTCATGGCCATTTCCTTACAATTCCTGTTTGTTTTATCAGAGATTTGCAGGGATCATGGGGACAACAACTGGCAACAAGCATTTCTCCAATTGCCTGTGTTTGTGCTGCAATGCTTCTCTGCTGTTTCCTTAAAATGCACTTATAGTAGAGGTGGTCTGGAGCTGCTCATCTCCATCATAAACACCCCACAGTCCATACAGGTGCCCATGGCAGGGGAGTTGGAATTAAATGATCATTAAGGTCCCTTCCAACCCAAACAATTCTGCGACACGAAACGCATAAATTTTCTACAGTGCAGATTCAAATCCCAGACCTGTCTCTTTTTATAACTTCTTAAAAGTTATAAGAGATGGAGAGCAGTCCCTTGTATGCAGACAACCACAAAAACCCCCACCCAAACCTTCTTGCTGGCATGGACTTTTCCCTGGTACCAATTAATGGTGCATGGATACCTGTTAAGCAGTTGTGAACCCTTCCACTTCCTTTCCTCTAGAAACAAGTGCATTTCAATGGGACTGTGTACAGACAATTTGGGGGAAAAGTCAATGATCACAAATGGAAAACGAATCAGTAAACTGTCTTTGTACCACAAAATTTCCCATGTTGTTTTCTGGAACTTAGTATTTGGGTGACAGATGGGGTGGCAAGGCATCAGCCTCCTGAGACGCACAGGGGATGAGTAGAGGGGGAAATGCTACAAGCCTCCACAAAACCACTGCAAAAATTTTCAGTTTAA